AGCTTTTGTTAAGAGTCGATTTTCGTCTCATTTCTGTATATTTTATTCTTATCGGAAGGTATTTCCTTTACTGAGTACAGAAAAGTAATCTAAAACTGATAACATTTCCTCGAACCTGAAGTTTTTTATGAGAAAAGTTACCAGATGAGTTAAAAGTAAATCAAACGTGTTACAGAATTGGTATTACTCCCAAAGTACAGCCAGAGCTACTAGAACTCCTTAAATTCCTGAATTTTTTAGCAAACAAGTTATCAGATATCGTTCAAACATCACTAGTATGGGAAAATACTAAATTGATACTTTTTGTCAATCCATCTTTCCCGTTAGTCGACAAATTCGCATTATTCATGGGCGAAAAAAGCGCGGGAATATTGAATCTTGTAATTTTTCAAAAAACTTAATTTCTCTATCTTTTATCCTCGCCTTAAAATCGTTGGGTTGGCTATGACGATTACTGTTTGTCATCGTTAATTGAGTCTACATAGTAGAGGAGCCAATGCTACTTTTTTGGTACACATTTTCACAAGGCTGAATTATAAATTTATCATTAATTCTTACCTTGTAGAAGATGGAAATACTATGCTGCAGGTGCACCAGCTGTGGAGTGCTCGATGACCTCTTCAAAAAGCCAATATAGAAAAAAATTTGCTTACATCTTGTTAGTGGTGGAAAACCTTCAAGTTTGGAAATTGAAATTATTTTAATATGTTGAATTTACACAAGACTCTTTTTTTGTGTGATAGAATATTAATGAAAATTTTACCTCTATTTTATATCCCATCGAATGCTGTTATTTTAAAACGTTTCTATAACAACCAGAAGAAATTTCCGGAAATTTTTCTCTTGGTGGGTACTTAGCATGAAATTACACTGGACATTTTTTGACATTTGAGAAGTTCTTTCATGTACATGATATTACGACGCGACGGTGTGATTAAAAAATTTACCATTTTAATTGTTAAAATTTTATTTAATACCAATTATAGATAGAAATACACTATAATTATTTTAAGTAAAATAATAATTAGGGTTTTCACATGGCCAACTTTTCAAATTTGATTTCAGTCGATTTAATGCATATCTGTTAAGTTTTGAAATTTCTGTGTAAAATTTTCTTACCCAATACCACACGTGCTAAAATTATTGTGTAGAAATTTTTGCTCACTAACGAATATTTTAAGACAATTATCGTGAGTTCGAAAAAATTGCCGGAAATAATTTAGGCACTAGTGGTATTATAAGTGAAAATCGTTTGCTGAAATCGATCTGGCTGTGAAATGCCTTCGTCAGCAAGCATCAGGAAGGTACTGTGAGCCGAATTTCAAGAAGGTGGTCTCACTTTTTTCTATTAACTTTTGATGTAATTAATATATGAAAGTTTCAAGCTTACTCTTCTACGACAGCATTTTCTAGTGTTTTTTAAGACGTATTCGTCGAGGGCTCTATCGTTGCAGGGACTGCAACAATCTGTTCCTATGTTCTACAAGGTAAAAATATACGATATATTTAATACACCTAAAAATTCCACTGGCTCCCCTACCAATACTATTAAACGCAAAAGCAAAATGACATTTACGGATGAGTGGAAACAATAAATTTTGATGATTTTAAGAGGCAGTAGAATTTGCACATGAGTAATAGAGATTATCAATATCGGTATATTAAGACGGAACTTGAACTTTTACAAATTAATAAATAAACAGCAAATATTCATTAGATTTAAAAAAGATGGATTACAACAAAAACCAAAGGTGGAGGATGCAATAACAAGAGGATCAAGATGGGAATGGACATAAATTACGGTACTAAGAGGCGGCTTACATAGGGAAATAGAGAGACAACGTCTCCAAAAGAGGTGTGGGAAAACCATTTTAAAAGAGTAGGTTTACATCAAAGAATACCTACCCAAAAAACGAACGTAAACGAGCGATTCGTTGAGAAAATTTCTATATGTACGACCAACGCAGCCATTTATTAGTGTTTTAACGTCAAATATAGCTAGCTGTCACTGTTTATGAAGTGGCGTTTGGTACATTATTACTTCTAAATATTTAATCAGTGAATACACATTCATATCGTGGAAAAGTCGTTTAACTAAAAAGCATTACAAACAAAATATATAGGATGTAACAAAAAATTTATTTTAAACCTTCAACCCATTACTTTATAGGTATTTTAATTTGTTTTCATAGCTCCACGGATGAATAAAGAAATTACTCTTATCAAATGGATCTGGTTGACACATAAAAAGTATCAAAAAAGAAGTACAGTAAATTTAACCACAGTTTCTGGGGTCAAAAATAAGACGATTCAAGCTAACAAGCTTATATAAAAAAAATGGATAGTAAAAAAATTACAGGGTGTTACAGTAGAAATTTTAGAAGTGATTTTTTGCTTTTACTCTTAAACGGCTTAAAATATTTTTATAAAAACGTCACTAACTTAATATATTTTAAAAATTTAGGTAAACAAAAAACGCACTTAGAAAGTCTACTGTCACTTTAATTGTTAATGAAACCATAATTACATCATTACTAATTTAGCGTATACTAACATAACATGTACATTTTTATAAAAATATTATAAGTTTTAGAGTAAGGGCAAATAATCACTTCTAAAATGTCCACTTCAATACCCTGTAACTTTTTTACTATCCATTTTTTTATATAAGCAAGTTAGATTAAATCGACTTATTTTTTGAACTCAGAAACTGTTATTACATTTATTGTACTTCTTTTCGTTACACCCCGTATGTATTAACCAAGTCTATTTGAAAAGAGTCATTCCTTCATTCATCCGTGGATCTGTGAAAACACAAATTATTAAAATATCTATAAAATAATGGGTTAAAGATTTAAAATAGTAAATAAAAAATGTACCCGGTATTTGATTAAGAGAATACCGACAATATCTCAGAAACTATGCATCGTAGAATTTTGGGAAAAAATTCAAGATAAAAGTCGCTGGAAATTATTTTCCACATTTCTAATTTCACCACTAGAGGCAATATTTATGTGTGGACCATAAGCATTACGCCCTCTAGTGGCGAAGTTGGAAACTTGAAAATTTTACCGAAAATTCTACAACACATAGTTTCTCAGATACAGCTAGTACAGCCACCGATTTTAGTAAATATTATTATCATTGCATTAAATTATTTAAGTTAACTAGTGTTTGTTAACCAGAACCAGCCTTTACTTAGCATGGATTTTTAATAATTGTGACCTCTAAATGTTTTTATTTGATCTAAGATTTCCAGTGATGGCATCTAGTAGACGATGGCTTTGTAAGCTGAAATCGTTCAGCCAAATATTTAATAAAATTTCATTTTTTACACACTGACGGGTTCATTTAATTTTTTACCTCGAGGAAGGGAATCCAACCTTTCAAATGTGGTCTACTTCAACATGCAAAATCAGTACCAAGTACCACATGATTTATTGTACTTGGCTACCGGTTTGACTAAATCGCTATTTTCAAGCCTATAAAATGATACAAAAAATAATAAAATATGTTCAGTTATTAAATAACTACAAGAACAAACCTTAGGTTCTAGGATTTTATTGGAAAACACTAATAATAATGATTTTAAACGAAATTAATTCTTAATTTATTATTTCATTTAAAATAACAATTAGTATTTTCCAATAAAACCGTAGTACCTAAGATTTACAATCGTATTTTTTTAATAATTGAAACTACGTTATTTTTTATATCATTCATAATGCTTGAAAATGGCTATTTAATAAATTATGTAGTAATGATTTTGAGTTTTGTCTCAAGGAAGAAATATGATTGGTTTAGACTTGAGCTTGTAGGAAAAATGTTTCTAAAATGTCATGTGAATAGTTTTATGGTATATTATTTCATTTCACCTCCAAACTTGCAGAATGATGATCTCGATGATGACAAATATCCAAATTTTATGATTTTTTGGCGAGCCAACCGGTATGATGTGTGAGTAGAGTTAGTAGAATAACAAAACGGTTTATAGAATCCTATTGTGAACAATTTTTAAAAAAAATTGGTTAGAAGTTAATAAATACGGAATGAAAGCATTTTTCTTAAATCCAAAATTATCTTTTTTTGCTTCTCGATAATATTGACTATGGTAAGTAATAATTATCTATACAAAACTGAAATCGAAGTTTGATCAATACGAAAAAAAAAAAAAAAATAGAAGATATATTTATTTGAGCTTAAAATACGAGGGCAGCAGAATTGTTTTTAATTAGCGTTTTTTTTGTTAGATTTACATAATTATCCGTAGGATAATATTTCTCTAACCAAAAAGGAATTTTTAATTGTTAACTACTACCACGTGGTATCTTTAAACCATTAAAAAAGGTTCTAAAGAATCCTTTCATTAAATTGATTGTTAAAAAGATACGACAATTTTATTAGTCCATATTATCCCTTGTAAAATTTGAAAATTAAGAATTTAAAATAATTCAAAAACTATTTTATAAAAAAAACTGTTAGTTACCAAAATATAGACACGCGGAGTTTTACGTGAATTGCTCTGTAAATATCATATATTTTTTTAATAACGTTAAAAAAATTAAATAGCTGCCCCTCACGAGCTCTCAAAAAAAAAGAAACATGACCTTCCACTATTTTTTTTAAATTCAATTAATCCTTACAATTAATAAAAAATATTTCGCTAATAAAATTAAGACTAACAAACTGACTAAATTCAAAATAAAAAAAAAAAATGATAATACAACACAAAATAAATATAAAAAATTGACAATTAACATTAAAATATATCTTAGTCTATTTACAATGCACAGAGTAAAAATAAAAATATACCGGATGCTCCAAATTTCCAAATAGGAATAAAAAAATTCAACAATAACTGTAGAGGTTATTTTTTTATGTGAAATATTGTTAATTCCCAAAAAATATATATATTCTAAATATAATAAACATATTTTTGTATTATTTTGTTTTCGAATTTAAATTCATTTTTTTTATAAAATTCACAACATATTTAGACCATCCGATTTAATATACAGGACTTATCAATATATAAAAAATATTTTATAGATTTTTAGTTTTTATAAAAAAATGACAAACCCTGTATTAAATTATTCGTCAAATGTTCGAAGGAAAAAATATTAAATTTATTTATATAGTTTTTTTTTATTGCTAAAAACAATATTGCTAATTTATTTTCTAATAACCTATTTAGCAAGCAAGCAATTTTCGAGATTTTTAAAATGTATTTTTCCTATATAAAAAAAGCAATGTAAAATTTTATAATTTTTTCTATGGTGCAAGAAATTTAAAATTCTTCGTCGATTTTATGAATTGTATCAGGTGTGTCCGACATAAGAATTCAAAGCATGGGGAATCAGGCACAGTTAAATTTTAATTTAGTTTCCTAATTAATTCGATTACTGTTCTGGATATATATAGTATTTTGTCACACATTACTGCCCCACTCAATAGATAACTTCCTTCCCATTTAATCTAATCTGTATATCTATCCATTTACAAAATCACCATGCTCTACAATCTGATGAGGGATACATTGTATATTTGTCAAACCGACTGAAATATAAGTAATCGCCTCAAGGAGCACAATGGAAAACAAACTGTATTTAACATGTCAATTAATCGTGTAAAACCCACCAAGCAGTTTTGAAAGTTATTAAGTACGTTCAACATACTTTTTTCAAAGCCCGCTTAATAGATTTCTTCAAAATAATTTGATTTTTTTCTACGCTACTTCTAATTTTTAACCAAACTCCGACAACCCCTGAAACATTTGACGAATAAACAAATTAAAACTGTGGAAAATTTCTTTTGATTATAAACCTAACAATCACGATATGTCAAATCACATATATCACTGCCTACAGAAAAAAAATTAAATCTAAATCTAAAAATTAATAAAACAATATTCGTTAGAGTAAATAATTCACTGAAATTATTATAGGCACCTTTGAGCAACCTTTTCAATATTGCACAGGGCCGAACTCATTCATCATTGCATGAGGGCGGTCGAGTTGGCAGCGCAGAGATCACCGGAAAAACCGTATAGTTTTTCCTTTCAGGAAAATCACGAAAAAACCCGTAAAGGAGCTTTTCTTATTGTAAAATTGCTTTAAAAAAATTGACTGGGACGACCGCTGTCAATTTCGTTGTTGAACACATCAGTCTTTCTAAACATTTCAATTACTTTACATAACCACCGCAATTTCATCCACAAGCGGCTGTCAAATTTATGCGTTAACCGCCATTTTGTAAATATGCGTTTTGTTACAAAAGTAGCAAACGGTTCATTATACGACATAAGGTTAGACAGACATTTAGCATACAAAATTAAAAAAACTTTCGAAGTGTTGTAACTCAAAAAATATAAATTTTATCGAAAAAATCAAAGTTTCAAATAAACGATCAAAGTAATTTTATTATTTACAACAATGGTTATTCCCATTTTGTCCTAAGGTGAAACGTTTGCGAGATATTTCACAAAATGCAATTATCAAAAAAGCGGCTAATATATAAACTCTTCAGCAGCACACCCTTAAGTTTACACTCAAGAGGGAATCAAAGGCCAAATAGACTAGGCAAGAAATGGGTAAATTGTCCTATTAGACATAACCCATAAAAGGAAGGCCCCATCTTCAGTATGTATAGTAAAATCTGTAAATTCAAACACTTAATTTTTAATTAAAATCCTGTCAAATCGAATGACAGATTGACAGCGGACGTCGATCAATTATAAAATACTCGCATTTTGTAAAAAAAATATTGAGCAATCACCGCCCTCGTACGAATCAATAACAGGATTATTTTTTTTAACATTTTCTAATGGCCAATTTTAAACTGGCACGATGATTTCCATTATGTAGACTTTTCCATTACTATCGACGCATAGAAACGAATTGAAATCATTCGAAGCTGACATATATTTTGCTTTGTCTTTTAGTTTGATGAACGAAAGGAGGTAATCGCAGCCATCTATCGGCTTACGATCGGCCCAATAGGATATATTCACCGAGTTTAAATCCGTCGTTAAATTTTCTAGTATGTCTATACTGTAAACGAAAAAAAAAAAAAATGAAATTAATGAAAAACAACCAGGAAAATATAGCAGGGACAGAAGTTGGAAAGGCTGTTGGTAGGTAGAAAGGTGGTAAACGTCGAACCCCGTCGAACGACTTTGACCAGTTTAAATTATTATCGGCGGAATCGGCAAACGTATGTATTTATGGGCTACAAATAATTATTTAAACAAGTACTAATATCCCAAATCATAATTCTACAAAATTTCAACAGCTATTCACATTTTATTAAACTATTTAGGCGAAATAATTTTGTATTTACTTCGACAAAACTGTCAAATCTTGTGTATGACGTGGGAGATCTGGCAAAAGCCTTTTCAACTTATATCCCTGCTTTACTCATAATTATTGGTAGAATATTATTTCAATAAAACAATTGAAAATCATCAAGAAAACCATCGTTACAAGTATGACAATTGACAAGTGACAAAAATAATCAAGAAAATATTCATAGTGGTAAAAAATTAATCAATATTTTAATAATAGAAAAAATCTGGAAAACCTACCTTACAAGTGTAACAATTGGTTTTAACAACATTCATTAAAATTTATGGGCCCAATAAACGTTGACAGAGCGTAATTTATCATAATGGTATGAATTTCAAATTACACACAGTCTAATAGCGTTATGAGATCATTAACTAAGATATAACAAGCGTTCTTACAATTGAGAAGAAGTGACCATTGGCAATGAGTAACAAGTGACAAAAATAATGTCGAAAACCAGTATAACGAACAGATAAAAATTCTTACAGAAAATTTGGATCAAACGATCACAGACTCTGTATTTTACTTAAAATTAAAAGCCATACAGCGTAAAAATATGAGTCCATAAACTTTGTTTTGTTTATTCTACAAAAAGTAGTTTTCGTGACTCTGATCATTTCCCCCCTGTACTTTCAGTTGTTAATGCGGTTGAAGATGGATTGAGAATAATTGAAGAAAGAGTTGGATGGTTGCAGTTCACGATTAGAATATAATAATTAAGCTTCAGGAAATTGAGAAATTCAAGGAAAATCTTTAAAAATAAAAATTCTTACCCGTTGGGTCTTCCTTTTCGTTTGGCGGGCTTTTGGAAGGCTTTCAGTGTCCACCAGGCCAATTCTTCACCCACACTGAGTAAAATCGGCTCTTTGTGCGGTGCGAAGATCAAATGCTGAATAGGATCATCATGCAAGTCTAAGGATATGTGTTTGTAGTCGTTGTTTAGGTCATAAATCTAAAAATTAACGATACAAAATATTGAGTAATATAATAAATTAATAAAAAAATTTAAAAACTCCTTTCATACCTCTATAGCACCGGTATTCATTCCTAAAGCCAACATAGCACCATCGCACGAAAATTTTACAACATTAACCTTCTCGTTGAACATAACTATCCTTTTCATCTTTTCCAAAACGTAATCTTTGTTCAAACGATACACGTCGAAGAAATTCGAAGTGCTCTGCTTATAAAAAACACCGATCATCGATTTGTGCTGGCAATAATCGGCTGCACCGAGAGTAACGGGTTCCAGGATGTCCTGATTTTGAACCGGTAAAAAATTGCCGTTCTCCACGTTCCACGTGGATATTTTGCAGTTGGTGTCGATCACCAAGAACAGTTTGTAGCAACAGAAAATGACCGGTTTCGGTATTTCCTTGGTGAAAACCTTCTTGTCATTATAAATCGCGACCATATCGTTTTCGAAAATGGCTAGCACCACTCCGATGTTGCTCTCCAATATATCCAAGCTGTCGGAACTGCTACCCGAGCTGATGGTGGGAATGCGTGATTGGTAGCTCTTGGTGGGGTCTAAACACTTCAAAAACGTCACCGCATGACCGGTGGGTAGCTGTAAAGTGCTCTTTATCTTAGAACGAAGATCGTAGGTGCACACGAGGCCGTTTTTGGTGCCGTAGATTACGATGTTGCCGCATAGCGAGAAGCAAGTGCACGTGATATCGGATAACACAGTTTCGCTTTCAGATATGAGTATGTAGCCACTGAAAACCTGGAAAAGAACGTTTGTTTTTCTATTAAACATTAACGAGTGATGATACTTATATCGGCAAATTTTTAGGGATGGTAGGGGACATCAAAATAAATATTTTTTGTTTAATGAACAAATGTCCGAAAACCTCTTCGTTTCTGAGATAAAGGATGTAAAAGTTTAAAAAAAATTTATATTTTTTAATATTTTGAAAACGTCTTAACCGATTTCAATAAAATTTTCAAAGATTATTGAGGTTTTGATAAGATATCTTTTGGACCTATTTCGCGTTTATCCAAAATGTTCATATGGGTCAAGTCTATTACTTTTTTGCTGAAAAAGAATATCACCCTGTATATATTTAAAATGTTTATATGGTCTTTGATAAAGCAACTAAAAATTAGGGATGGGACTTTTCATGAAAAGTAATTTTTTGACTAGTCCGACGGACATGCCCGGAAAAGTAGTGAAAAGTAATGAAAAGTAGTCGCCTTGAGCATAGAAGATACACAGTTAAATTTCCATCCTGGATGTTTCTTAAAAAACACTTTGGAAACAATATTTGCATTTGTATTTTCGTTTTTTTAGGCAAATAATTTGTAAAATACTTCCAACCTTTGTTTTAATAAGATATGAAACGAACATTCGAAAATATCGTTAAAACATATAAGTCAGTAATCATTTGTCGTTTCTTCTTTTTTAAACTATATTTTGCCTTTGTTTGTAAGAAATTTAGGCAAATTAGTTTATTTTATTTCGCGCATACTTTTGAAAAGTGTTTGGACTAGTCAACTTTTCAGACTAGTCCTGGACTTTTCCAAGCAATCTATCAATACTAAAAATACAACTTATTTTTTCTCGAAAACGAAGTGAGATATGCAAAAAAGTTGAATTTTTAGTTGCTTCATTCAAAACTATTATAAAAATTGCAAATATCTACTAGACGTTATTATTTTTTCATAAAAATCCCTATATTTCGTAAATTAAGCATTTCCGGACATATGTTTATTAAACAAAAAATATTTATTTTGATGTCCCCTACCATCCCCCAAAGTCAGTATATTTATAAACAATATGTTATTATATGGATCATCTGCCCCGAGGAGTAAACTGTAGAGGGAACTAAGTGCAGAAGGGTAGTGAATAGACTTTTCCAAAATGTTTTTGATGTACGACTATGATATCAGTACCAAAGAACTTATAGCAGTCTTTCACCTTTTAAATATCATTGGTAAAAATAAAAATAATTATTTAAATTTAAAATAATATGTTACGATAGATGTAGTCAATGAGGGTTATCAAGCGATATTGACATATAATGAACATAATGAAACTTTATCTTTGGCAAATGTAATAAAAAAAGAGAAATAAAGTGCCCAGTAAGTTCTATTCACACTCAATGCTATTCGGAATAATTAATTACAGCAGCTGTGTCAGTTGCAGAATGGGTAAATCCGGTCAAGGGGTACAATAAGCCTAGAGCTTCAGTACAAGTAGGCTTTGAACCACGCCCTAATTCAGAAATCCGGTCAACTATGTTATTTAAAAAAATCAGTGGACCAGACCATTGTTGAGAAATTTCCGAGGAATTACGAAATCAATCCCGAGGAATCGACATATATTTTAAACGAATTGCGGGAATTAAACAGTAGATGGGAATTAGATGTAAACATTTTGGCTGGTGTACTGCCCCCCTTGAGATACCGGTTGTATTTGACTAAAATGATCTTAATATCTATTTCAATCGAGGTTACGCTCCGGGGTATACATATTTACCACGATTCTACTTAGCAGTATCTGATAATACATATCAATTCAGCTAACGTCAATATGTGGAACGTATTCACCTATATGCCGATGATACTCAGATTTATTAGTTTCCCTCCAGATCTATCACAAAATGCGTGTGAAATAATTAATCGTGAATAAAACTTCTTTTGTTGGATCAGCAACCGAGCACTGTTTACTAATTAATGCTACAAAATCTAATGTCATGTTGTTTGGATCAAGTCGTAATCGTGACAAAATTATTGAATAATTAGGTATTGAAATTAATAAAGATAGACTAATTATAGTAAATGAAGCTAAAAACTTAAGAGTTTTAATTGATTTTGAATTAAGGTTTGAAAAACACATCACTAAATTGATTTGTTGCCTAAAAGTATTAAAATATCACTTTGTGAATCACTTGTACTATCAAATTTTAATTTTGCTGATCCTGTCTATGGTCCAAATGTAACAGTAACCTTAAAAAAATACAAAAAATACAAAACAGACTCATATACGACGATATAAGAAAATATCAAAGGATATCACAAAAACTCAAAGTAATCGGTTGGCTAAATATGGAAAACCGACGAATTCATCACGCAACTATGCTATACCACAAAATTGTCTTGTATAAAATTCCCATTTATCTTTACAAAAAAATATCCTTCACAACTTAAACTTAAGATTCCAAGGTCTACTATCTACTATCACCACCTTCTACCTATCCCCTCTAAAATATAAAGATACTTTTTTTATTTTTATTTTTGATTTTTCAATATGTTTAGATTTAGTTCATATATTCATGTTTACATATAAACACCATCATTGGGTTAAGTGGAAGAACAGTTTTTTTTCTATTCATTACAGCATATTAAGCATATAAAAACTAATATTATTAAAAAAAAAGTTTAAGAAAAATACTCATAATCTTGTTCGTTAAAAGGTTAAAACCGTACTAAATACTTCTGAAAGATATCAAATTTACCTGCAATTTATTGTCGTCACTGACCAAAGCAGTAAGAGGATTCTTCCGTTTCCAAAACGGTGTAAATACAGGAATTTTCTCGACTTGTGGCTCTATACCGTGAGGTTGGATGTTACATTGCTGCAACGTTTTCTTATCCGATCCTATTAGCAATATATGAACGGACTTGTCTTCGTCGTAAAAGGTGTCCAGCGATTTCGCCAAACTAAAATGAAAAATGCAGGATGTTCATATATCTAGAAGTACAATCGCAGTATAAAATTAAACAACTACTTCCAGGGCTATGTTAAATGTACCTCCAAATATTGAATTAATATAGTAACATACAGGGTGTCTGTAAAAGGTCTTTACAAAAACATACCACATATTCCTTAGACCAAAATAAGTCGATTTAAGTAAAATTACCTTAGTACAAAGTTGCTTCGTTTGGGCTCCAGAGGGCCTTGAAGTTACAATTTTTAAATCGTTTTTCCCATATAAATTTAAAACGGCATATGTGATTTTGCTGAAATTTGGTATTTTGGTAGAGTTTTATGTGGCAAAAAAATGGTATTAAAATTTTGTCCGATAATAATACATAGGCGTAGAACTTGATTTTTTAAATAATTGCACCTTTAAAAATTCTACGCCAATGAAAGAAAAGGAGTTTGAGTATGAAATTTAGATTGCGCAACTCATTTACTTTAAAAAAGGGATTCTTGATAAGACTCGATTACTCTCATGGTTTTCGCTAAATTTCTGTTTAAATAATTTAGAGTGTATAGGTTTCACAAAAATATTTATTTACAACATATACAAAATAGAGATTTTACAAAAATTGTTCAAATTGTTCACCATTTTCACGCATACAAAGATTTATACGTTGAAGAAAATTAAAATGTATCCTTTCCATAACTTCTTCATCACCTCTAAGATTGTTTATTGCATCTTGAATACGTTGCCAGAGTTGTTCCTCATTTTCTACAGGTTCCCTGTAAACTGTGGATTTCAGATGTCCCCATAAAAAGTAATCCATCGGTGTTAGGTTTGGGGAACGTGGTGGCCAGTTTACAGGTGCGTCATTACCTCTGCCTATCCATTTGTGTGGATATTGTTCATTCAAGTGGTTTCTAACGTTTAAAGAAAAATGTGGTGGAGCTCCATCTTGCATAAACCACATATCTCTCCGAAGTTGGAGAGGTAAATCTTCTAACAATTCTGGCAACGTATTTTGTAGAAAATCCAAATAATTTTCTCCAGTTAATTTTCGTGGAAGTATGACAGGACCAACAATGAAATTACCAATTATTCCAGCCCACACATTAATTTTGAATTCGTGCTGAAAATGATTTACCTTTATTGCATGCGGATTTTCAACGGCATAAACATGTTCATTATGGGTATTAGTTATACCTCTTCTTGTAAAACCCGCTTCATCGGTAAAGAGAACCTTCTTGACAAAGTTTGGATCTCTTTCTCTTTGCATATTAACAAATCGACAAAAACCCAAACGAATTTGAGGATCATGGACTAATAATTCTTGTACTGGCTTCTTATGGTATGGATATAGCAATTGTTCTCTAAGTACTTTATGAACGACATCTTTACTTACTCCTAGTTCCCTTCCAATTCGTCTGGTGCTTAATTCATGATCTTCTTCAACACGTTCTAAAATGTCTTCTTCAACTTCAGGAATCCTTACAAAACGTTCTCTTCCATTATCAACAGTGTTGGGAGCAAAGGAACCGGTCTCCCGAAGACGTCTCTCAACAGCAGCAAAAGTTGGGTGGCTAGGTACACGACGATTTGGAAACCTTTCAGAGTACACCCTGACACTCTCTCGAGCATTTCCTTCACAAAATCCTAATGTCAGTAACATATCGGTATATTCTGCATTGGTACATTGTACAGCCATATTAATAAACCACACATTTGTTTTTATAATTATTGAGTCAGATAGAACACTTTCAATCGTTAACAAGAGATTAGGTGTTAAAACTTGACAATATTTTTATTTAGATGAAACTATGGAAACCAACAATAAATGTTTTTGTATACATATTGCAGGCAAATAATTAATATTCCTCAAAAAATCGTACTTGGCAAGAATCGAGTATTTTTGTTAAAAGTCTCGATTAGAGGTGTTGAAGAAGATATGAAAAAAGTAAATTTTTGTTTTTCATCGTATAAAATTTTTTCCGATAATAATACATAGGCGTAGAACTAAATAATTGCACCTTTAAAAATTCTACGCCAATGGCAAAAAAGGGGTTTGAGTATGAAATTTGGATTGGGTACTCATTTACTACAAAAAAGTACCCTTGATAACACTCGATTTACTCTCATGGTTTTGACAAAGTTTGTATTTTAATAATTATTGTTTATGTTCTAAAATTACTAAAATGCAAATTTCGTCAAAACCATGAGAGTAATCGAGTCTTATCAAGAGTACCTTTTTTAAAGTAAATGAGTTGCGCAATCTAAATTTCATACTCAAACTCCTTTTCTTCCATTGGCGTAGAATTTTTAAAGGTGCAATTATTTAAAAAATCAAGTTCTACGCCTATGTATTATTATCGGACAAAATTTTAATACCATTTTTTTTGCCACATAAAACTCTACCAATATACCAAATTTCAGCAAAATCGCATATGCCGTTTTAAATTTATATGGGAAAAACGATTTAAAAATTGTAACTTCAATGCCCTCTGGAACCCAAACGAAGCAACTTTGTACTAAGGTAATTTTACTTAAAACGACTTATTTTGGTGTAAGGAATATGTGGTATGTTTTTGTAAAGACCTTTTACCGACACCCTGTAGTATCATATTCGCTTATGTTGGGTCATTTTTAGTGTGATTTCATATAATATACACAAAAAATGCTAGCAGACTAAAAAATTCGTACAAGATATTTACATACAAAGATAAAATAAGGACCTTACAATATTCTAATGGTGATTTTCTGCATTTAAGGCAGTTTTGTAGTGTACAAAAAATCTATGAGATGACTCATACATAAAAAAAAATGGATTTTTGTAAGAAGAGCTATGACAAAATTTAATATCGAGGAGAAATATAAATGTTCAACATGAAGCCAAAAAAAGCACAAAGAAATTCGGAAAATTAGTTCACCCATTACGGGGTCAAAGTTTTCAGGCTTCAATGTTTCTCAGTACAATTTAAAAAAAAATCTCCCCACTATATTTACAAAATACAATCAAGATGTTCATGAACACAATACAAAAAGCAAAATTTTAGGGTTCATAAGGCAATGAGAAAATGTACACAAATTATTTTTTTTAAAGGTGTACAGCTTTTAATAATTTTCCTGAAGATATTAAATGTTCTTCAAACACAAGAGTATTAGAAAGATAACTGCGTGATTACTTGTTGACAAGTTAAATTTTTTTTTTCTTTTATTAGGTTTTGTAAAGTTGACTTTGTTTAATCATTTTAAACTATGTTCACTATATACTTCTGTATTTTTATTTTAAATGTGAAGAGTGTGTATTGTCATGTAAATTAGTTTTTTGGCAAAATAAACAATTATTTATGTATTACAAAAAAAATACGAGACGAAATTTGTTAAAAGATAGGCGGAAATTATTAAATTCGCCAAAATCATGGCATGTCAATCGTGGATTGGAAATTACTAATAGGAACTATACGAAAATGAAATTTTGAATGGGGTTAGGTAATTTGATAGAATATACGAATTTCGGGATTAAATTTCGAAGAAAAAAAATTATGACCCAATGGGGGAATAATTCTGAACTAAAAAACCATTTAAGAGCACGACATACAGAATTGTAATATTCGCATTTATTGGTGATCAACTCTTTTGACACAATTTGTAGCCAAATGCCTGAATCGATCATAATGTCTGTTTTTAATGTTAAATAAATAAACTTACCCCTTATTCTCAAATTCCCTCAGAATTTTCTCTTCCTCTATGTCCCAAATGTATACCGTCTTCTGATTGGTGCTAACAACCAAATACTTATTATCATTGGTCAACGTGGAGCATATATTAATTTTTTCCTCGATTTTGTTTTCGAACATGATGGTTTTCTTGTTCTTTTCCCAATTGGTGATATTTCTATCGCCGACGGCCAACAGTGTGCCGTGTGAATCATGCAATTTATTGCAAAAAAGAGAGTTACAGTTTTCGGTGTTGTGCAGCTGGGATATGTACTGCAACTGATCGTTTATCACTTTGTACTTGAATATGCTCTCCTGGCCTCCAAAAATTACAATTTCTTCACCTAATAACGCAACACAAAATATTTAATTGATAGCGCTAAGCAAATAGATGTAACACTCGTCATTTATTCTGATGTACTAGATAAGAGATAGTTCCTTCGGCTATTATTCGGTGACGTGTCGTCAGACAGTATTGTGTTCTCTCCATCTGCGATTGTTTTTAAATACAGGTGAGTAATTGTTCAATATTTCAATTTGTGTTATAGATACGCAAACAAGTTTCAAATAAAAGTTGTTGGGATTTGAAAAATACATATTTTAAAAATATTTTTGAATATACGAGGTGTTGCGTTTTCGTTTGGCAAATAAAAATTTATATTTTTTAAGTGGAACACCCTGTATTTTATTTCAATTTTAGAATGGTGTGGTAATACTGTATTCAACCCTAGAATGTTTCTAAAAAATATTACAGGGTTGCCAAACAATTAATTTGTTTGTGGAATTAGGACATAATGCAGACTCCAAATTAAATTATTATAATTTAGGTAGGTTAACATTGATTTGAAAATTGTCTAACATACACACTAAGCTAACAAATAGTGGTGATAAAACTGGTTTATTTTATACTGAGTGTTTTGAAACATGCCATAAATATGGCTAATTTTAAGTTCAACTTACTCAATTTTTTAAATGCAATACTTTATTTTATATTATTTCCTTCCTTATAAATTTGCCTATCCAACGATACCAACATGTTGGCTAGTAACACATATACAGGGTGTCACATCAGTGCGTAATTGATCGATAGTTGTTTTATTATTGGAAATACGAAGAAATTTTTAATATAAAAGTAGTATCATCATATTTAACAATTATTCTTAAATATACAGGGTCTTTCATAAACGAGGTCCTGACCAAACCTATACTTTTTTAAAACAAAACACCCTGCAGGTAGTTAAACATATTGGATTGTTTTCACATCGTCAAACTATTTAAATTAACTTCATTTATTCATACTGTATACCGGGTGTGTCAAAACGCGAGGTTACGTTTTTTTCAATTTTTAAAATGAAATACTCTGTATTAATTGGTAGTACGAGGATATATCAGTATATAACGAGACTGGTGCTATAACTTCTTTCAGAGGTAACATTTTATAACCCAAAAAATGAGACATGAAAGCCTTATATTTAATGTACTACCCCGCAAGTAGGCTTTGATTTAACTTTTGACATTTGTTACAAATTAATTATTGAATTGTCAGTGTTTTGCGTACCCATCGAAAAATGAAAGTGGAGCAAAGATACGCGATAAAATTTTGTGTTCGATTGGGTAAAACACCAACTGAAACTTTTGAAATGATTAAAGGTGCATATCTAGATAATAGTTTATCACGATGTAGAGTGTTTGAGTGGCATAAAAAGTTTAAAGACGGTTGTGAATCAGTTGAAGATGAACCTCGTCCCGGTCGACCACAAACTGCGAGAAATGACACAAAAATTGCAGAAATTAACGACTTGATATAAAATGATCGCCGGATTGGCATAAAACGAATTTCTGACAATGTTAATTTGTCTTACGGTACCACTCAAAAAATTATTCATGAAGATTTAGAGTACCGGAAGATCGCGGCAAGATGGATTCCAAAAGTGATGACCGATGAACAAAAAGCGAATCGAGTGACAATTTGTCAGCAGTGGAAAAGGCAATTGCAACCAGGGGCGGTTTCTCCATTGGTTCATTTGTGCAGTGAACACCCAGTTCAATTTCAAAAAGACACATTATTTTAAAACTACATAAATAACATAAAAATATAAATTTAATTTTAATATTTTTATTTTCATACGTGTTAATCTATATTTTTTGGTACATCATTGCTTTCTGGCTGATCGCGTCTCTGTGGCATAATATATCTAAGTAAACCTTGTCTGTGGCGCATTATGATGAGTGAGCCTAACACGAGTGAGACGATTTGACGAATACATATAGCTAAAAAGAGATGAAAACACGCCAACAGATCCTTCAAACTGTCAAAGAACAAATTAATTGGCGCGCCGCTCACAAACAAGTTTGCCAAACAAGTGTTGCCAGTCTAGTACAATTCACAATTGTACTAGATGTAGTACATTCTGCATGCATCAGTGTTCACGTGTAAAATATATGTATATATTGTGTTCCTTGTTTGGGTTCGTTATCAATAAAGATCCCCTTTTTTCCTCTTCAATGAATTTATATGTCACTGCAAATAGAATTCGAAAAATCTGGTACATTTTTTAGACAAATCTGGTACATATATAACAAAAACATTCTGGCAACTATGTAACAAATCAAAGTACAAACTGTCAATGTCAATACTGTCATTCCATCTATTTTAATAAAATTAAGATTATTTTATTTGTGATTGTTTAAAAAATGTGTTTAATTGAGAACTGCAACTTTAATAAATTGGAAGGATGTGTGTTAATGTAATTATTGTTCAAGAAAAACTTTGAAGGCAAGGTAAATAAATAAAATATTTTAAGGTTATATTTTGTTTATTTACTTTATAATAAAGCAGTAATAAAGTTTTACGACTATAATTTGTTTTATATTTTGTTTCAGTATCTAGACCATCCAAAGACAATTTCAAAATGGTCTATTTTGTACACAATTGTAAATACTATGAAGTAAGAAGTAAACAAAAAATCTGTAAATTTTTTCCCACAAAATCTGCTAAAAGGAAAAATTTAATTATTCTGATGAGGTAACTATTTGACATCATTATGGAAATGTACAATAAAAATTTGATTAAGATAAAGAGACAAATGGTTTTCACTTTAAAAGTCTAAATCAGAAGAATGGATCAGCCAATTAATTTAATATACTCGATGAGAAATTTTACCTAAGAAATGGTATGTACATTTAAATAGTTTACCTATATAAAGTTATGTTTACAATTATCAATTGTGTTACCCTCTAACCAAGGTCGTTTGTTACATACACACAAGAAATATTTTATTTTAATGATATTTTTTTATTGCCTTGTTTGTATAATTTAGTATTTTCAAAAATATTAAATGTTATGGTAATTAGAATCACTACAGGTATTAAATAAAAATAAGGGTATTGGTAAAGTAGTTTACAGTTGGTACTAAAGAATGTCTCGAAAAAAGTCTCGAAATAAGGCATTTAACAAGTCACATCCCACATCTACATGCTCTGGCTAATCAATCCTATAAGTACATATCAAAACATTAATATACTATCTATAATTAAACAATAATTTAAAAATACAGATGAAGCCGATTTACCTATTTAAACAAAATTGTTATTATTCTATTATTTATTAAAACACATTATTTTTTAGTAAACTTGGACATGCAAAAGCATCCATGAGGATAGGACATTAGTGAAAGCAAGAATACTTTGGAATGTTCTGTGAAATACACTTAGAAAGTGTCATATGGAGATTTAAGTGTGATAACATTTTACGAGTTTAGTTCATAGATTTCTGTGTTCAATTATGTGCTGCTATTTCAAACTTTTAGTATCCTTTGATAAAAGAAGTTGAATATTATTGTTGACCTTTTTAAATTGTTTATTTTACCTCATACATTTTTTTTCTACTCTTCATACAGTATTCTGTGAAGAGTATTATAGGTTTATTTTGTCTGTCTGTCCGATGTCAGGTTTTTTGTCTACACGATAAGTCAAAAACGAGAAATGAAATCAACTTGAAAATTTTAAGCAAAAATCAAGCTCTATAAGAGGACAAAGCTTATTGATTTTTAACAAATCTGATTAAAAATAGGGGTTAAGATGGGTTGAAATTAAAAAATCCTAAATTAAAAACGAAAAGCGATATCAACATGAAATTTTTAGTAAAAATTAAGCTTTATAAGAAGATAAAGCCTATTTATACTGAAAAAAATATGAATATATGGGGGGGTTAAAATATAAAAAAAAATCCTAACTGAAAAATGATATAAACTTGAAATGTTTAGCAAACATCAATCTCTAAAAGCAGATGAGGCCTATTGATTGTGAAAACAATCTGGTTGAAAATGGGGGTTAAGGGGGTCTGTTAAAGTACGAAGAGTATCCTCTAGAATGCCAAGCATTATATATCTTTATTCTAGTTTGTGTCTGTGTAATATGTATTGTGATGGGACCGGATGGGACTGATCTTATAAAATAAACATTTAAAACATTTTAGTTCTTATTTTATTTGCCAATAAAAGGTATTTAAAAAATATATTTTTTATTTGACATCTGTGACAAATTGTGAAAATGATTAAACTTACAATCAAAACTAAAAAATGGTAGGTAAAGTTTCATATAAAATTTTTTACACAAAAATCAATGTAAAGTTTCTACATTACCTGATATATATTTAAAAATAATCTCAAATTGTGAGGAAAAGTCAGTTTACTAACTAATAATGTTTAGATTGTTTTCAACGTATTAAAAAAAAAAAAATATTACACTAACTAAAATATTCATTTATTAATAGTTGTAATGCTTGAAAACAGTATGATGTTGATAATAATAATTACACTTAATACAAACTCAGATAATAAAAAAACAGTGATATTGACTCTTGTACAAGGTTTTGATCCGAACTTACAAATGATAAAATTATTGGAAAAAGTGAACACCCATTTCAAATTACCACGAGCCGCCACTGATTGCAACGTATAACCCACAGTTTTTAAATAATGTGGTTACATGTGACGAAAGTTGGTTTTATCATTACGATCCTGAATTGAAGTCTCAAAGTATGCAATGGAAGCATAAAGGCAGCCCAAGACCGCAGAAGGCCAAAACTGCTAAAAGCGCTGGTAAAGTGATGCACCTGATTTTTTTTGATAAATTTGGCGTTATTTACGATCACATTGTACCTAGAGGACATACAGTAACAGGGGAGTACTATTCTAATGTACTTCGAGGTCCCTTAAAGGCAAAATTAAAGAAAAAAAGGCCGCTTTATCAGGACTTTGGCTGGACGCTGCATCACGACAATGCTCCGGCTCATAGATCAATGATTTGTCAACGAACAATTGAAGAATTAGGGGTTGAAATT